GGCAGCGGCGGCAAGGTAGGAGCGGCGCCGGCGGCGGGAGGGGCGGCCCGGTAAGGCGGCCCGGTGAGTCCCGGCCCTTTTCGCCTAGGAGGAGGCGGCGGCCCGCTCGGCCCCTGCCGCCGCCCTCAGCGAGGACGAGGACGACTCGGAGGAGGAGGAGGATTCCTCCGAGACCGACTCGGAGGATGACTCCGAGGAGCACGGGGCTGCGCTGGAGGGGTAAGTGGCGCTAGCGGCCGGAGCCTGGGGCCTGGGCCCGATGCCGGACTCCGGTGCCGTAGGGGCCCTTTCAGCTCCGCTGGGGTGCTCGTGATCCCGCGAGGGCGAGCGTGGCCGTAGGCAGCGGGACAGGCAGCTCTTTCCTCCTGGCACCCGGGAAAAAGAGGTGCCTTCGTGTGACAAACGGCAGCCACCCGGGGCGGCTCCTCGGTCAGTCCCCAGGCCCCGCTTTGCTGTGCCAAGGCGAGGCACAGCTGGGAACGACCGAGGGCGTCAGCTAGCCTCCTGTCTCAGCTTCAGCCCTGCCTGACAGTGGGTGGATGCCCAAGAAAGAGGAGGCGCATCTCAGACACATCATCCATCTCCTGATAATCCTCCTCCTTTTCCACTGGTATCAATGCTGAAACATTACTAAATCCCTGAGTTGCTGTCCTAACGCCTGCCTTTGTGTGGAGCTCTCATCCACTTTTTGGCAGCTCCTGTACAAGTCTTTCTGAGCACAAGCAACAGTCCATCGCTCAAGGGCTTTTTCTGGCTAGGAGGCCTAAGGCAAAACATGGCCCAATAGTGGTTTTCCTGTGCTGGAAGTCTTTAAGAGAGGACTGACTACCTGGTGTTTCAGGTTCCTTCATGATTGCCTTGCACACTTGGGTCCCCCTTCTTGCTTGTACAGAACATACCACACATTCATCTTTGCCCGCGTTTCTCTTCTTTTCTTTAGTGACTTCAATCTAGCGGATTATGACTACCTGCCAGTGTCTTCTGAAATCAAAGAACTCTTTGAGTACATCAAGAGGTGAGTGGGAGGGGTTTTAGCCCACTCTTGGCTGTCCCTTGTGTCAATTATCGTGGCAAGCTTGGTAGGACAGTTCAGAGTCACCCATGCTGTGGTGGTGTTTTTTTCCAGGTACACTCCCAAAACAATAGAGATCGAGCACAAACTGCAGCCTTTTATTCCAGACTTTATTCCCGCAGTTGGAGACATTGACGCGTTCCTAAAGGTACAGTCGCTTCAGGTTCCTCTATACGTCCTGCTGCACAAGCCGAAACAGAATGTGGCATCGGTGCGAGAGGGGCAGTTGGGCTGTACAGACCAGAGGTGGCTGGTCTGCCCCCACAGTGGTGCATACCCTTGCCCTGCGGTGTCAGAGGTAATGTTCTAGAGATCTGGGAAACTATGCTCAGTGGTTCAGTCACCCTCTCAAACAGCACATAAGTCATCTGGGGCAAGGCCTGCCTTCTCCCTTGTCCAATACGTTGTGCTTTTCGGGTAGCACTGTACTAACACCTTGTATTCAAGAGAGCACACCTACCACTTCCTTTTAGGGTCTGATTTTTCAATGGCAGGGAGGTTCCGTACAAAATACCCCAACTTCCCCCGCTCTGGACTCCTGTATAAGACAGGGTCTCTGTTTATCTGCAGGTTCCTCGTCCCGATGGCAAACCTGATAACCTTGGCCTGCTGGTCCTGGATGAGCCATCGACCAAGCAGTCGGATCCCACCGTGCTCTCCCTTTGGCTGACGGAGAACTCCAAGCAGCACAACATCACCGTGAGTTGCAGAGAGGGAGGGGGCACTTGCTGCACACTGGCTGCAGCAAAACCATTGCATTTTACTTTTGCCTCTGTGACTACAACGTTACAGCACGACTGGTAACTTGGCTTTAAAAGCAGAAAAACCTAACCTTTTTCTTTAACCCATAGCTTTAAACTGCAATGGATCTAAGCCTTGCTTCAGGCAAGTCTTGGTACAGACTTTGGTTCCCTTTCCTTCAGGTGAAGCTTTGTCTCCTTTTGGTTGTCAATACCTGAGTTTACTTGGTGTTTTGTTCACCAGCTGCTCTTCTGTCGGCAGAAATCAGTCGGTATAGTGCAACTAGGAGAGAAAAAAATGCATGGTTAATCAGGAGCGAACACATGGTTCGCAAAAAAGCCCCGAAACACTGCAAAATGCTTCCAGGTTTATATTTCTGTTTTTAGCAGCAGATAAAAGTGAAGAGTTTGGAGAACGCAGAGAAGAACCCCAAAGCCATCGACAGCTGGATTGAAAGTATCAGTGAACTGCACCGCTGCAAACCTCCTGCCACAGTCCATTACACCAGGTGAGCCGTTACATCAGCTCGCCTTCAGACACACTCGTACAGCGTAAGCTCAGGTCAGTGGGAGGCTGGTAGCAAAGTCTCGGAGCGCTGAGTAAAACTATCAAAATATCTCTGAGAGGGAGAAGACGTGCTGACTCTCAGGATAGCCCTAGCATGCACATGTGCAGGACACACTGTTTCCTGCTCTGCACTTCTCTTGCCCTGCGTAACTTGGGTTAGTTTAACAGCTAGCACACAGAACTTGTCACTTGGCAAGCTTAGGCTTGTTTTGATACATAAAAATGCCCACATCGACCCTCATCAGGCGTGCAGCGCTCTCTCAGTTGGTTAGAATGGAGCCTGTCCCATTTACAGCTGTCTGGCAGTAGGAAGCCATTTCAGTTCTGTGTGATCCTGAAATTCATGTTCTTTTCTTTCCTGGCAGGCCAATGCCTGACATCGAGACCCTGATGCAGGAATGGTTGCCAGAATTTGAGGAGCTTTTGGGAAAGGTATGTTGTCCGAGCGATAAGCAGTTAGCACAGTGCATGGTGTTAGACACCATCTTCTATGAAAGCTGGGTTCCTGCTCCGTTTTGAGCTCTTTGCCCACAGCCCGGCCCATTCAGGTTTCTTCCTCGCTTACTGTTTCTCCCTTGCCAGAAGACAGGGGAGCAGTCCAGTGCCTGAATTCCCATCTGCTGCCCCACTGGCCTCTGTGCTCAGCCTGAGGTCAGCGCGTGCTCTTGGGCTCTTGCCGTGCAGGAGCAGAGCTGACAGCCTCATCTATTCCAGGTGGGCCTCCCGACTGCAGACATGAACTGTGACCTGGCTGAATACGTCGACATGATATGTGGTAAGCGGGGGAAGCTGTGCTGAAGATGCAAGTGTGCTGCTGGCCTGGCGCTGTCTCACTTAAAGCAAGAGACCTCTAGGTGCAGGCTCAGCCCTGACTAGTCGAGATCATTCTCTGTTGCCTTCAGTAGGAAGCAGAATCTTGTACCGCAGGCGCCTGCGGTCTTTGATGAGCAAAGGCCTAAGTGATCATGGGCAGTGGGAAGCTCAGCCTTTACTTGCAGCACTCTGTGCAGGGCGGTGCAGCCCAGATGCTCTCACACGCTTCTGTTCTTGCTTGTAGCCATTCTGGACATCCCTGTGTACAAGAGTCGGATCCAGCCTCTGCATGTCCTCTTCTCCCTCTACTCGGAGTTCAAGAACTCGCAGGTATGCAGCTCCAGACAGGCACTGCTCACCTGGCTGGAAGCATTGCAGAGCTCCTCTCCTTACATTTGGCTTCCCTGTGCTGTGGGTGTCTGTAAAGGGCTGGTAGGCCACGATAAAGGGGTCCAAAGAAAGTTTTCTAAGCTTTTCCTTTCCCTAGTACCTCAACATTACACAAGGAGCCTCTGACATGCCGCAAGGCACACAGCATTAAGTTTAGCAGTCCAGCGTAAGCCCAGAATGCTTTTTGTGCCAAAGTTGGGGCGACTGCTGGGCACGCAGCTCAGACAGAGCAGAAGTGGCTTGCGTTTTCAGATGCACGCCTGTAGGCTCATTCACGAGAGTCGAGCCCTTGCACTAATGCATTCCTTCCCCTGCAGCATTTCAAGGCCCTGGCTGACGGGAAGAAGGGCAGGAGCCCACCATCCAACCCGCCTTCACAAGCAGCAGACGCAGAAGTGTTAAGCTTTACTTGAAGCTTCACGTTAAACCCTCGTCTCCTGGATCAATGTCTGCCGCTGGACATCAACCTTGGACCGCAGCAGCCTGTGAAGCAGCGCAGGGCACTTCAGAAGCCTTCTTGGTTTTATAGATACTGCTGAGCTGTCCTGCATTCATGGAGTAGGACGTTACTAATCAGATTGCACAAGCTGCCTGACCACTCCATTTTTTACTTGTTCCCAAAGAGTTCTGTATTAAACCAGCTCTTCCCAATGGCAGGCTCCCTGTGCTGTAGATGCTGCAGAGCAGAGGTTCCTCGAGCACACGCTATGAGTGCTAGAGCAAGTAGTAATGAATTCCACGCTTGGACACACCACTCGGATCTGCCCGGGACGTTCTAAGGTCTGATCTAGGGATCTGGAATCTCCTCTGCCCTGTATTGTTGAGCCCCTTTTTTTCTATTCTCAAGCCCCTTAGCTGCTGCCAAGGAGAAATAACCAGCGCGGCACCACACAGATGCTTGAGTTTAGTTTATTGCTGTTGGGAAGACTCTTTCCAGCCCCCGCCATGCTGCTTGCCCACCCATCTGCCACAGCTCTGGCAGGGGCGGGGAGGATCATGTAGCAAGCAGGCCACGAACCTGCTAAAGCAAGGCTGGTGCTGGGCCTTACCCCAGGAGGAATCACAGCGCTAGCAGCTTGGCAGAGCCTGGCTATAAACAGCTTGGATAAGTTTTGATTATAGTAGTCTATTCGTAAAGCGCACGGGCTACATAAAACATGCCTTGGCTAATGGCACAGCTGCCGTGACCTTAACATATAGCTGGGGGCTGGTCAGCGCCTGCCACCCAGCACGGCCTCTCCGGCACCCTCGGCTGCGCTCCTCCGGATGCTGGTACGTACCTGGGACCAGACAGCCCTGGCTCACGGGCACCACGTTGTGTCTCACAGCCAGATCTCGTCGCTGCTCATGCTGGGCACTTTGTAGATGCGCCCGGACATCGGGAGCTGGACAAAACCTACAGGACAAAGACAGCTCGTTGCCATCACCTTTTGGGACAGCTGTGGAGGCCGGGGTCCCCGTAGCATGGCTTTTGGACTCCTTGCCCACCTACGCCCCCTCACCGAGCTTGCTGAGGACCAGGAAGTTCTCTGGCCCCGGGAGCGCACCCTCCTCTCCCCTGGCACCGGTTCCCGCATCCATGGGGGCATCTGCGGGGAAGTAAAGGGGTGAGAGCTGGGACGTTTAGCCCTTGCCCGGGCAGGGCCTGTGGCCTCACATGTCCCTCTGCACCGGCACCTTGGGGTCTTACCTCTGGCCTGCTGCACGAGGTCACCGAGGTGCAGGTCGGGCGGCAGGGACCGGGTCTGGCGGGGCAAGCGCGTGCTCCAGGGCTGCGGGTGCTCAGAGCTGCTGCAACGGGAGCACCGGCTGAGCGGGCTGCTCCCTTCTGCTCGCCCCTCACCTGGCACTGTCTTGGGCCAGCGGCATGCTAGGCAGGCGGCGCAGGAGCCCAGGCTAAGCAGGGCACCCAGGGCCAGGGCTGCTCCAACGGTGACGCCCAGGAGGGGCAGCTCCACACGGGCATCCAGCAGACCTGCACGGGCAGCGCAGCCCCCCTCAGCACCCCTCTGCAGGGCTGCTGCTCCTCTGCATCTCTCCTCCCCCCCCCACCCCCAACACCTACCTGGGGTTAGGAGGGAGGTGGTGGTGATGCCGACACTGTTTGTAGCACTGATGGAAAAGTTGCCGGCCACGTGACTGAGGTGGATGCGAAGCGAGTGGTTGGCCAGCCCCGGATAGTGCGTCGCACCCAAAAGGAGGAACTCAGAGGCGTTGGCCATCACCTGCCCGTCCTGGTCAATCCAGGTGATGCTGGCGGGTGGGTTGGCTTGCACCAGCACAAAGAGTACTAGAAGGAGCCCAGCACCCTCGACCTCCTGGTAGCGGGCATCTGCCCGCAGGATCTCCGGCTTATCTGGGCAACAAACACAGGCAGTGAGGTGGACAGGAGGGATGGGGAGGGGGCAGCGGGGGTGGGGGCAGCACAGCCAGGAGCAGGATTTTCCTCGCCCAAGGCCAGGATCGCTCCTCAGCCATGTTTGTGCAGGACTGATGAGATGCTGCCCCACGACAGCTGCGATGGATGCAGATCATGGTACTGCTCTGGCCGGGCAGCAACCCCCCATGCGCCCTCCCTGCACCTCCAGCTAGAGCAGGGCCGGCGCTGCGGACCTTACACTGCACGTCGAGGAGGACGGAGGCGTTGTAGGTCTCACCGGAGGCCGGGTCCGTCAGGGAGCAGTTGAGCTCGCGGTCGGTGCGCCGGGCGGTGAGGGTGAGGGTGCTGGCAGTGCCCGCGGCCGAGCAGTTTGCCTCCTGCTTCCGGCCGTCGAGGTACCACGCCAGTGTGGCGCCGGGGGCCGGCCAGGGGGCCCGGCAGGTGAAGGCATGGCTCTCCTCCTCCAGCAGAGTGCACACTGCCAGCGGCTGCCCATCAATGGTGGGGCCCAGCTCCCCCAGCCCTGCCGGAGAGCCCGTGGCATGTCAGAGCCACAGTGGGGTCCTGCTGCCAGGGCCACGTGCCAGACCCCGCCACAACCTCACCTGCTGAGCAGAGCACCGGGAGGCTGAGCAGCAGCAGCAGGCAGGCAAGGGCAGCCCCCGGCCACCCCCTGGGACGCCCCATGGTGCGCTGACTGCGCTCAGCGCTAGGAGAGAGGCAGGTGGAGCAGGCACACAGGGCCATCCCCGCGTTGGGCCCCCGGCATGGCAGCATGCGGCAGGGCCAGAGGATGCAGCCGGGCTGCACCTTACCTGGAGCATCGCTGCTGCCGCGTCCAGCCTAGCCCGCAGTGCGGCTCTGCGCCTGGGCCCCGGCACGCAGGGCCGAGCATGCGGCACAGGGGCGGTCCCCAGCGAGGCCGCCAGCATCCCTCTAGCTGGGCCCCCGCAGCCGCCTTCCAGGAGCGGGGCTGGTGCGGCGCGCAGCTGCTGCGGCAGTGGGGTCTGTCCTGCCGCCTGGGTGGCCACGAGCACAGCCCTGGCGCACGTGAGAGCAGCTGGAGACCACCCAGCCAGGGCAGGGGATGAACACCGCTGTGCCCCCCATCTCCCCCCTTCAGTGGAGGGGGCTCAGCACCCTGCTCGGCCCAGCCTCGCACCCATGGGGAGACCCATGGCAGCGGGGCTGTGTGCGCATGGGAATAACGCCACAACTCCCCCCAACGCCGCAAGGAGAGCCCAAGTGCCAGGGACACAGGGAGGTTTATTAGGGGTGGAGCAGAGTCGAGACAAAGCAAGGCACTTTGGGAATTCCTGGGCCCAGCTGTCAGCCAGGAGGAGGAGGAACAGGATCTCCGGCACCAACAATGGATCTGCTCCGGCAGCCAGGATGTGCCCACCTGGGCCACCCTGGGAGCACGGCTCTGCCCGGCCCACGCGCCACCTCGCCCATCTCCTGCCCGTCTCACTCGTTCCCGGTGCCACCAGGGTTGCGCAGCCGCCCCAGCATCTCGCAGAGCATCTGGTTGCAGAGCGCCGAGTAGGGGTTCAGCAGCACCAGCTGCCGCCGGGCAAAGGCGCTGCCCAGTCGCGCTGCTCGCTCGAAGTCCCGCCGGGCATCCTCCTGGCGGGCTTGCAGCTGGTGGATCAAGCCGCGTTGCACGAAGCTTTGGCAGGCAGCGTGGCCACAGCCCCGGCTCAGGCGAATGGCCACGTCCAGGTCCCGCAGGGCGCCTGCCCAGGGCGAGAGAGGTGTCGGGGTGGGCCTGACATACCGGGGGGCTGCCCTGAGGTAC